CCATCGGGTTTTTGTACTGGCCATACAGGGGAGTTATATGGTCTATGTAGGGAGAATAATTTGCACCTTTTCTAACTCTTGTATGGTGTCAGTAGTTTCTTCACATCCATGCAGTAGCTGGTACTGCTTAATGTTAGTCACTCTTCTTGGTTCAGGCATGACCAGTGGGGGATGTTTGGCATGTCCTCGTAAAACAGCTTTTACTATCTACACCCGCAACCTAAATACTCCTGCGGTAGTTTTCAGCCACAAGCCTTGCAACACGTTTATCCCTAATATATATTCAGGAATTGAGGATACATAGACTTTGTATTCCTCAGGCACCATCCTATGACCAAGGTTACAGTGATTGCCTTCGCTTTTACATTCCGGCCTCCACCATGGCTGTCAATGTACAAGGGTGGGCCGGCGAACCAGTCAGGGTTCCTGTACATTGGAAGGCGGACAGTGGACTTTTATGGTTTTGCCACAAGGGTATTTACACAGCCCTACTTTCTGCCACAGGTTCGTGGCTGAAGATTTGGCCCATTAGACCATACTGCCAACCATTCAACCGTACAACTATATTGATGATATCTTTCTCACCAGTGATTGTCTTGCAGATTTGGAACAAACCGTGCCAAGTGTACTATTGCATCTAAAAGCATGTGACTGGGTGGTCAATGACAACAAATTGCAAGGACCTTGCTTATCTGTCAAGTTCTTGGGTTTTGTTTTGTCAGGTAAGACTAAAGTGATGCCTGAGGCAGGCACTGACAAGGTACAAGCTTACCCCACTCATATCACTATGCGGCAGTTACAGACTTTTGGGGGGCTGTTAGGTTACTGGCAAGCTTTTGCCCCACATCTGGTGCAGACATTACATCCCTTATACTTCTTAGTTAAAAAAGGAACAAAATGCGATTAGACCGAAGAAGCAGAAATGGCTTTTTAGGGAACCAAACGAATTATTGCCACTGCACAGGCTCTACATGTAGTAGATCCAGCCCACCCTTGCAAATTGGACATTCATGTCACCCCTGAGGGGTACGGAAGGGTCCTATGGCAGAAGACAGAACACCTGAGGGAACCTGTGGGATTTTGGTCCCAACTGTAGAAGGGGGCTGAGCTCCAGCATTCTCACCGAAAAACTGCTGGAGGCCACATGTGCAGCCCTGGTCACTGCAGAGCCAATTACGGGCACCACCCCTGCTGTAGTCTACACTACAAACCCTATAGCTGGATGGGTCAAAGATTGGGTGCATAAACCCTGCAGTGGAACAGGCTACACTCCCACTTTGGCAAAGTGGGGGGCCTACATGCAGCAATGGGGCATGTTGAATACTAGTCCCTTGAGAATTGAGTTGTAAGAGCTTCTAGGGCCAGTCACGGATGCTGAAGAGTCCCTGGAGGGATCCCAGATGACCACCCAAGATGGAGAGGAGAGCCCCTTTAAGGAAGGAAGAGGGCAAGTACCAGCAGAAGCCTGGTACACAGGTGGTTCAAGCAGAGGACAGCCAGCCAAATGGATGGCTGTAGCTTTCCAACCTGCAACCAGAAGTATATAGCATGATGCCAGTATGGGGCAAAGCAGCCAATGGGCTGAGTTCAGGGCAGTATGGTTAGTGATCATGAATGAACCCAGCCCCCTGGCTGTGTACACAGATAGTTGGACAGTGTTCCAAGGGTTAATCCTCTGGATAACCACGTGGCATCTGAATGACTGGCAAGTAATGCACCGCCTTTTGTGAGGCAAACTATTGTGGAAAAATCTCTGGGAAGCTGGATATACCAAAGAAATTACAATATTCCATGTTATGGGCCATGTCCCCTGGGCCTTCCCAGGAAATGATGAGACTAATACTTTGGCTAAAGTAAGGTGGCTAGAGACTGCACCTATGAAGGACTTGGCCCAGTGGTTACACAGGTGCCTGTTGCACATGGGACAAAAGACAACGTGGGCCATTGCTCAATCATGGGTTCTTCCAATAATAAAAGAAGAACCGGCTGGTGCCTGTGAGGCCTATGTTACATGTTCCCTCCAGCAGCCAAGAAGGTTGGTAGCAGAGCAAGGCCAGATCACACAGGGGAGGATTCCAGTTACCTACTGGCAGGTGGATTTGGTCTGACCCTTCCCTGTCTCAGAAGGGTACCAATATGCACTCACATGTGTAGACACTGCCACTGGGCTATTAGCTGCTTTCCCCCTTCGGGAGCCTCAGACAGCAGTTATAGGAGGGCTACAGAAATTATATGCAGCATACAGTTGGCCTCAAACTATTGACAATGATAATGGCACTCACTTTACTGAACATGTAATCAAAACATGGAGCAAGAATATGGCCATAAATTGGATATATCATGTTCCCTACCATCCCCAAGCAACTGGGATGATTGAGAGGTATGAAGGATTTTTAAAGAAAGGATTGAAAGGTGAGAGAAATACATTACAAGGATGGACCAAGCAGCTATGATCCACACTTAGGATTCTTTTCTTTTTTCTTTTTTGATTTTTAATATATTTTTGTTGGTAAAGTATTTTTTTTTTTCTTTCACACTTAAGATTCTTAATGAGCAGTCACAAGGGTAGAGTAACCCCTATACTGAAGCCCTAACGCACAAAACTGCAGCATTAATTCAACTCCGGGTTCGGACCTCTGATGACCTGCTGAAGCCTGGTTTTGAAGGAAAGGGCAATATTCTTTTACCTACACCCACTGCCTTAACTCTAGGACACCGGGAGTGATGGATCTAGCCTTGGAAGATTAAAGCACCCCATTTGTGATGGGTAGGATTAATTGGACCTTGGGGAAAAGGTGTGGAACAAAAGTTACAAGTATTATCATGGCTGTTGACAGAGTGGCCCCTGTAGGTATGGACTTTTCTACCCCAAAATACGAAGGACACCTAAAAGGTTCTTTCATTCTCTCCTTGTGGCCCATTATGAGTTCCCCCACATTGATGCATGTAGAGCCTCCCCCGTTGGCACTGCAGGCAAGAAAGGCGTGGTATGCTAGGCCAGGAGACCCCCGATACCTATGATCATTTTGTCCAATGATGAGAAGCTTGCATGCATTTTACCGGAAGGCAGAGATTTACCCTTGATAGTACTCACAACGACTCATGCCTTCCGTCCTTAGCATTAGACAGACCAATACCTTGGTGGAGTGGGTGCATACCATGGCCATAGTGGCTAATACCTCCAGGTGTTGGATATGCCCCGAGACTCCCCTAACTGAAAATGGGGGACTCCCATGGAGATACAACTAGCCTCTGAAACTAATTGGACTTGGTGGCACAGCTGGGGACATGATGATCCAATACCCACCCATAACAATACTAAGAAGCATATAATCCAACTGCTTCAAGAACAGCATGGCCACACATGACCCTAGCTAGGGTATTTTGTTTGGGATGGGGTAGGATGGCTCCTCACGGAGGCTGTAGAGCTTACCCTAAGAGTGCCATGATGTATTGAAAGGTATAATCCACAGGCGGCTGAAATGGGATGGGTGCCTCCAGCACTACTCACCCGGTGCCCTGGGGAAGTCTATGGGTATGTGGGCAACATGGGTGGCCCTATCTACCTGCAAACTGGGCAGGACGGTGTACACAGGGATGGCCTTATCTCCTAGAAAGGCTATTGACCACCCTGCTTCACTGTCCCACTAATTGGGACACCTTTAAGGCTCGTCACTGTGTTAAATGAACCCCATGATGGTTTTATCCCTTGGCCATACTTTCTCTCCAGGAAGCAAGTATACGTAATCAATGGGAGATTACTGCCCTGGCTTTCCATACAGCCCAGGACCTTAATGCTACTCATAAAGCCTTGACATGACATGAAGAATTATATCAAATGAGAAAGGCAGTCTTACAGAATCTCATGGCATTAGATATACTGACTGCCTCTCAAGGAAGTGTATGTGTTATTTTGGGCACTGATTGCTCCATTTATATCCCAGACATTCACCTGAATGTAACCATGGCTCTAAATGCTTTAGCTGTTAAAGGTCATTCTACTGATGAACTAACAAAGGATCCTCTAATGGAACAGTGGAACTCACTTGCACAGGGGCAGAGAATCACTCTACTAGTTTTAGGCATTGTCTTCGGGGTCCTTGTTGTAGGTTGTTGCAGCTTACACTGCTGTTGTGGGTTATGGGCACAATGCTCAGCCCTCCTCGCCCAGGGCCCCTCCTGGAAGACCTTTGTAGCCATGTATATTGTAAGGCAAGGAATCCTGAAGGGGTGGAGTGTCAGGTAAGGACCCTCCAATAGGGGTGCAGTATCATGCTCCCTCGGCCCCTGCTGATTCCACCACGAATATACTAAGTCATAGTTGTATAACATCGTCACCATATTAGATTGATGCAATCCTATGTAACCCATACTTGGGCACTATGCCACTATTGTGTAATTAGGCTATAAAAAGAAAGGGGGACTATGTTTAGCAGCAATGTCCTTGCAAGAAACTGTGTGAATAAAAGGCATATCTCAAGTACCCCTGACTCCACAACTATTCTTCCATCTGCCCAAACTGAGAGTGAACCTTCCAGGTATCGAACAATTGCAGTACATCACCACACATGCATTTTTTTTTTTTTTTTTTTGTAAACCTCATATTACATATCAATGTGCCAAGAAAATCAAGAGAGTAGACTGCTATGTATCTAGGTAAAGTTTTTCATATTCCTAAAACACACCTGGTTCCTGAATTTCTGGGAGAAAGTAACTCTCAGGATTCATACCAGTGTCATTTTACCAACAGAAGAAATGTTCTGCAAATTTTCTAATACAAAATATGGCTTTTTTTCTAACTTTCTCTAATTATAAATTCTTGATTATACTATTCCTATTGCTGTTGTCGTGCCATTAAGTTGATTTTCACTCATAACAACCCCATGTGACTTAGTAAAACCGCCCCATAGGTTTTCCTAGGCTGTACTCTTTACCAGATCAGATCTCCAGGTCTTTTTCCTGCAGAGCTGCTGCATGGGTTTGAGCACCAACTTTTCAGTTAGCAGCCAAGCACTTAACTGTTGCACCACCAGGGCTCCATCCTATCCCTAAGGTGTTCTTAATTTCTTTTTTGGCTCAACCAATAGCAACAAAACTACCAAACCTGAATTAAGTAAAAAGTGTATTAAAAATTGGCCTTTACCTTTTCTGGACTGTGGTGAATTGTCCTTTCCATTGTTCTCCAGGAATACTACAAAAAAGATTATAAAACCAAATCAGCACAAGATTAAATTCCTACTGAATCAAAAGATACTCACTGTATTTAGAAACTATGTAAGAAAAAGCTCTGAAAAGTTAAGGACACTTCCCTAAGTGGTTTAATTAGAAAATTGGTTGTTACACTGTGATGGGAGTAAGGAACTAATGGTACCCTACTCTGAATCTCCTTCTGCCCTTCAGTTCCTTTCCTGTCATCTGACCTTCATCTTCTTTAATTCCGAATCTATTTCACTAGTGTTGTAGAGAAAGCAGCTGACCTTAGTAGTGTAACCTCTAAATCAAACCCAACCTAACCTCCATAAAGCTGCCAGAGATCATTCTAGCTGAGAATAATTTCTCGGCTCTTATATTATTATATAATACAACACTGTTACTTAACAGTCAAGTATTGTATTACCACTTAGCTTGTGAAAGCCATTGTGTATTTATTTTGTCAGTCACCTTATCCTTTACTCTTTCTTCCTCCATATATTACCACCAAATCCTATTGGTTCCATTGCTTCCCCAGTTGAGACCTCATCATCTCTCACCCAAACCTACAACTGCTTCAAACAGATCTATTTCCAATCTTAATCCCTCTCCAATCTATGCTTCTGAATGCCTTTCTTGGCAATTACCTTTCCGAAACACTACTGCAAAACCAGCAGTCTTGATTCTTTGGCATTCAAAGATTTTTTTACAATCTGGCAGCTCTCCCATTTGTATTCAATAAATTTGTTAAATTATTGAATGATTATCTAGCCCAAAACACAACTGACTGTAATTTCCACTTCAAAGGTCTGTGAACACATAAACAAGTAGAAAAGCAAGAAACAAACAGAAAGGGAAGGAATAAATTTTTAGAAAAAGAAACTAAAACAAATTAGCGGTGAAAAAACAGAAGACTGGAGCAATAAACTGGCATGCAGCCAATATAAGAATAAAAGCAATGGGAGGGTAAAGGAGATGGCCTTGGAGAGCAGCAAAATGATGGAAATATATAAACTAGTATAAAGATGTTCCATTATAAAGATGTTCCATTATAATACTTGCATATAAGATTTGATCAGGATCTCCCTGTCTACTCTAACCATCTGAAATGATGAAGTGCAGCAATCAAACAGAATAAATATCAGCTCATTACACCAGTCACGAGGTTTCAAAAGAACTTCTGAAAATACTAACACGAACCAGAGAGAGCTCCAGCCAAATGCTATTACCTTTTCTTACTATGAACTCTGGCCACAAGTACTATCCTTTAAGTATCATACTGGAACAAACCTAACTCACTGCCAACTGAGTCACTTCCAACTCACAGCAACTCCACAGGGTTTCCAAGGCTATAAATCTTTATAGATGCAGACTGCCGCATCTTTCTTCCTGAGAGCAGTTGGTGGGTTCCAACCACGCAACTTTTGGTAAGCAGCCAAATGCCTTAACCACTATACCACCAGAGTTCCTTATCATACTAAAAAAAAAAAAAACTTATTGCCATCGAGTCGACTCCAACTCATTGCAACCTCTCCTTGAGTTTCTGGGGTTTAAATTGCTAGCCTTCTGGTTAGCAGTCAAATGCCTTGGGCACTGTGCCACCAGAGCTCCTAACATCATACTAGATGACTCAAAAAACAAATGGTCCTTCTAAAAGGAAAAAATACATAAAAACTACAAATACTCTAAAATTTCCCTTTTATGTGATGGGTGGAGAGTAGCAAAGACTGTTTATTGCTCCCACTTTTTAAAAAAAATTTTCAAAAAGTTTTAAAATTTTTTCTTAAAAGGAAATAAATCTAAGGAATGTAAAATAAGTATAACCTGAATAGTAATAATTCTCAGCAATTATCAAAAAAGGGGGACTACTTTAAGGTGTAGGTTTTAAAATAAAAGTATACATATAAAGAAAATTCACAATTACCTCTCAAACCATGTTTTTATACTATGTGCAAAAGACTCCCCAGGATATAGCTGATTGTTTCTTAGATACAGAAGAATGTCCAGTAGTTTCTTTGTATATTGATCATCTTTTATATTTTTTCCAAAATCAAAGAAAGCTTTTAAAGTTGCCAACATAGGAATAAGATCATGACCTAGCAATTCCTGATACAGAGTCCAAGCTGTGTTTACATCTTGATGAAAAAGAGCTCCCTGGATACAGTCATTATAGTTCTTTTTTGAAGGGATCATCACTTTTTTGATATCTTCTAATAGCAGCAAAGCCTCTCTCCATCTGTCTGAATGGATCAATCCCTGGATGAGAAGAGTGTAACCCCCTGGTTCTAAACGTCTATATCTGGCTTTCATGATTTCATAGACATCAATAATCTCTGATGTCTGCTTATGAAAGACACAGAGATACAAATATTTGACCAGTAAATCGTAGCTTACGATACCATTGTTTTTTGCAGCTACCCATGCCAGCAGAGATTTGGCCACATCTATAGAGCTATGGCCGTGAGTTATCTGTGAGCTGATCCAATTTTCAAAATTGGCCTTTCCTTTGAAATCTTCTTTAAGTTTATCCCATTCCTCTGAATTCAAAGGTTTTGTTGGGAGCTGAACAGTGTTCCTCACAGGTGGTGAGATATGATCTTTACTCTGAGGATTCATCTGTGATCTCTTCTTAGCTGCTCCAGCTGCAAAAAGATGAGAATCAGAAGAAACTTGCTTATTATTTCTCTCATCTTCTTTCCCGCGATACCTGGTCTTGCCATTCAGCAGATTCAATGCTTTGGAATTCTGTGGAGACACTGTTGTAAAAGAGAACCACCTCTGTTGGTTCCTGATGCCATAGCCGTCCAAAAGAAAGAGAGAGAGATGAGAGTTTCCTGAACATAACCCAAGGCATACCTTCTTGTTGTTCTTCCAAAGCTCAGGAAAGCTTCGAAACCCAGACAAACGGAAAGTCATTATGCAATGAAAGCAGCACCAGATACTGAGAGAAATGTTCAAAAAGCCTCTACTGCTACAGCAAAATTATGTGCTCGGGAGTGGAGACACAGGAAGTTTTTAAAGAGATTATGAGTTTCTCCTTTAAAGACAAATCAGGGTTCTCTTTTTGGAAACGGTGGTAACAACAAAGGTTGGTAAGTTATCTCCATTAAACAGCCATCAGGGGATATGTGACCTCATTGGCAAGCCCCAGAACGCGAGGACCAGGCAGGAATCACAGCGCTCCGAACGAGGTTCCTATACTGCTTGTTATACTCCAGTCAGTAAACCTGAGGAAAAAGGACAAGAAGGAACGCCCAGTTCGACTCACGTGGAATCACAATTACACTCAAAAAGGGCAGGATTCCATGAAAGACTTGCTGAAAAAAGGGCACAAAGTCGAATACTGCGACCCAGATCAGCCAGTAGCAGGCAGCAGCGAAAGTCAGTCTAAGGGGACTTCACCACGCTTAACAACCCTCACCCGGCCGCAAAACGGATTAGACGGTCAGACGGCGATGGAAGGTGAGGTCAGCCGACTTAACGCAAGAAAATAAAGGAAGTCCACGAAGGGCACGGTCTTGGTTGCCTACCGATGGATCACAAACGAAATCCACACTCACCACAATGCGCACGCTTAACGCAGCCATAAAAGCGGCGAAAACTACAGCGTCCACAATGCACTGCGCCAACCTCGGCGTTTGGGGGCCTAACTTTACCCTTGCGAATATGCTAGCCCTAAAAGCTAGAAAAGGCGATTCTCAGGCTTTGGTGGAGTAGTACCTAAGGCATTTGACTGCTAACCAGAAGGTTGGGAGTTCAAACCCACTAGCCACTCCACGGCAGGAAGACTGGACAATCTACCGTAAAGCTTTACTTCCTGGGAAACCCAAAGAGGATTGTTCCACAGTAGTGAGTTTTTTTTGAGTGTCATAAGGCAGAGGTGAAAACGTGTACAAGATTCAGGGAACCTTAAAAAAACTCACTGCCCTCAAGTTGCATCCTACTCATAGCAACCCCTCCTTGGGTTTCCAAGGCGATATCACTACGGAAGTAGATTGTCCTCTAAATATCCGAAATGAAGAATGAAAAGAAATTGTGAAGGGAAAAAGCCTTCACCCTGAACCGGAAATTCCACTGAACTTCTGAGTCACGTGGAGCAAGAATCTAGACGGAAAAATAAAAGCGCGGGCTTCCTTATCTTAGGCCTTTAAAATAGAGATAGATGAGGTTTGGGAGCCTCCTTAAGGAAGGCTATTTTCCACTTCTCTTCATGTCGGCTTTCCAGCCTTAGCTAATCGCCATATTCTCCGCGACTGCCACAGTAATCGGTCTTGCTTCTTTAACCCAGACTTCCGCCCTTGTCCAAGATGGCCGGTTGAGCGGCTTTCCCAGCCCTCTGGGAAGAGGCAACTGACGTCGGAGTTGGTGGGGGTGGAGCGGTTAGTCAACAGCAAATGCAGGAGCTAAAGCGCGGGAGTCGACCATGGACTGGAAAGAAGTACTTCGCCGGCGGTTAGTGACGCCCAACACCGGTCCAAACAGTGAGTTTGGGAGGGGCTGCCAGCTGGGATAGCCCGGCCCTGAACTTCAGGAGGGTGAGGGGTGGGGGAATAATGAAAAGGAGGAGTCACTGGGAGCTTCGCTCTTTGCTTTTATAAGGCATCGATGGCTGTAGGTTTTGACAAAGAGGGTGGAGTGGATTGTGATTTAGATATCCAGAGAGGTTTGGCCACAACTTCTCTGGGAAAAGATTGAGGAGAAGGAAAAACTACCTTGGCCACTTACTTCCATAATCTTGACCTAGACTTGTCGTTAGGAGTAACTACGAACCCCGGCTCCAACAACTCTCCGACCTCACTAGGATTTATAATTCATTGATCCTACCGCCTTTTACTGTCACATTTTTCATGTGCTTACGTCCCTCTTTATCCATCTTCGATTTCATACTCCATTTTTCCTCGTCCTTTTCCCTTTCTTCACGCTTACCTGGTAACCAATCTGGTTAAATCCATCTTTCATCTTATTCCCCTGCACCCAGGGCAACTGAAAGTGGATGGAAAAAAAAAAAAAAAAAGAACCATGTTGAGTTGTATCCCTTTTAATTCATATCCACTAACCTAAACTCGGGAGCTCTGGTAGCATAGTGGCTAAGACCTTTGCCTGCTAACCAGAAGGCTGGCGGTTCAAACCCTCCAGCCACTCCTCGGAAGGAAAATGGGGCAATCTACTTCCGTAGTGATACTGCCTCGGAAACCCAAGGAGGGGTCGCTATGAGTCCCGTCGGACGGCACATAACAACCACCACCACCACCTAAACCAGGTCTTTCAGTCACTTCTATCTACCATGCTTCCCTAAACATTAACTCTCCTACACCCTAAGGGAATTACTTCCATCCTCAAATTTCTCTCTCCAGTTCTCAAACCACCATGGCCTACCCACTCCTTACCTTTAGCTAATGAACTTTTTATTACATTGAGAAAATAGAATCAATCAGAGAGAAACTTCCCTTCTCCCATTACCATTTTTATCTGCCCCTATTGAGATGCCCATACATTCTGCCTTCACTGTATAATAAACTTTCCATGCCCCTTTTGAGACAGTCCCTCAACTCCAGCACTAGAGCATTCTGTTTCTTCTATTCACTGAGTCCATCCTGCGTTACAATCTTTCATGCATCAACAGATTTTTCCTTCTGTAGTGGATCATTTCTATCAACATTGAGATATAATATTCCATCTTAAAAAAAAAAAAGGATTTGATCCCATATTCTGTTCCAGCTCCTGTCTTATTTCACTAACCTATTATAGGAAAACATCTCAACATAGTTGTCTATAATTGTGCTTTCTCCACTTTCTCCTCCCAAAGAAGTGGGTTCTCTTCTGAATCCAGTTAATGCTTTCACAGATAATTATTGCATGATTGTTGCAGAGGAGCTGTGGTAGTGTAGTGCCTAAGGCATTTGACTGCTAACCAGAAGGCTGGTGGTTCAAACCCTCCAGCCACTCCTCAGAAGGAAGGTTGGGCAATGGACTTCTGTAGTGATATCGCCTTGGTAATCTAAGAAAAGGTTGCTATGAGCTGATCTGACTCGACAACAGTAAGCTCGGTTTGGTTGTTTTATGTGTCAAATACTATTCTAGGTTATGCAGTGAACAAAACAGACAGAAATCTCTGTGCTTGAAGAACTTTAGTGTGGGGAGAGACAATAAACAAAATAGTACATTTTACAGTTTGTATTAAATCCAGTTTAGGGCATTTTCTTCCATCAGTGTACTAGATCCCATTCTTTGTCCTAGATCCCATTCTTGCTTAAGAATGTCCTCCTGCAGTCCCCTCTCTCCTGTATCATCCATTTTTCTTTCTCTAGGGCTGGGTTGCTAGTCAGCACATGGTTCTGTTTGTGTGTATGGATTATTCCTGTACCAACAAATCCAAATACCTGAAGAACTATGTCTAGAAGAATGGTGACTATAATATGCCCAAGTACTAGTCTTAGCATTTGTGATAGTTGGAGCTGTGTGTCAACTTGGCTGGACCACAATTCTGTGTGGTTTAAGCTGTTGTGATGTGGTTATTCCCATGATAGGATCAGATGATTATGTTTTGAGTAGGCAATCTGTTGAAAGGGAGTTTCCCTAGGGGTGTGGCCTGCTTCCAGTATATCTATGGACATTCTGGGAAAAGAGACATTCTTCTGTGGATCGGGATTCTGTTGTGCTGCCTACAACTGTCCGTGAGTGAACAATCCACCATTCGGCCTGGAGATCTTGGATTCATCATTTGCTGGAGTCAACAGCCGGTGTACTGCCTGGCAGCCTTGCGCTCCTCAGCCCCTGGCGGCTGCAAGAGTCAGGAAAAGCCTCCAGCTTGACATTTGATCCAGAAACTTTGGACTTGCCAGCTTCTATAAGTGTGTGAGCCATTTTCCTAAGATAAATTTCTATTATATACATATATATATAAGCTTTACTGGTTTTGTTTTTCTAGAGAACCCAGTCTAAAACAGCATTCACAGTGCCTTAAGCTAATCTGTTGAATAAATCCATTTCAATAAAACATTTATTTAACATCCATTAAGGGTTCCTGAAGGAGCTCTGGTGGAGCAGTGCCTAAGGGATTTGACTGCTAACCAGAAGGTTGTTGGTTCTAACCCACTGGCCACTCCAAGCTAGGAAGATAGGGCAATCTACTTCCATAAAGATTTACTGCCTTGGAAACCTAATGGGGGTCTCTGTGAGTCAGAATTGACTCAATGGCAGTAGGCTGCTAACCTAAAGGCCAGTGGTTCAAATCCATCAGCTGTTCTGTGGAAGAAAGATGAGGCAGTCTACTTCTGCAAAGATTTACAGCCTTGGAAACCCAATAGTAGTCACTATGAGTTGGAATTGACTCAATGACAGTGAATTTTATTTTTATTTTGTTTGAGTACCTATTAGGTGGTGTAGTGCCTAAGGCATTTGACTGCTAACTAGAAGCCTGGTGGTCCAAACCCACCAGCCATTCCTCAGAAGGAAGACTGGGTAACCTACTTCCATAGAGATACTGCCTCGGAAACCCCAGGAGGGGTTGCTATGAGTCGAAATCAACTCTATGGCAGTGAGTTTGTTTTTGGCTTTTAGGAGCTTTGGTGGTACAGTGGTTAAGACCTCAGCTGCTAACCAAAAGGTTGGTGGTTTCAACCCACCATCCACTCGGCAGAAGAAAGATGTGGCTGTCTCCTTCTGCAAAGATAATAGCCCTGGAAACTCTATGGGGCAGTTCTACACTGTCCTATAATGTTGCTATGAGTTGGAATCGACTCAACAGCAATGAGTTTGATGTTTGTTTGTTTGTCTTAAGTACCCAAAAGGAAAATTATGATCTGAGATGATACTAAACTTTAAGGTTTCAGAAGAGAACCAGCTTTATAATCCTGCCATGGAACTGAGTGACAGAAGTGGAGTAGAGTGCTGTATGGAAAGTGAATTTGCTCTGT